TGATGGTGATACTATTTGTGTGTTTCCCTTCTTTGGGATTTGCTGGTGTGAGATTATCTACTGCCAAGATACCATGTTTACATGGGTACAGCTAACTTCCTTGGGTTGGAGTTTTCCTTCTCGTACTTTTTGTAGGGCTGGATTTGTGGATAGGTACTGTTTAAACCTGGTTTTGACATGGAATATCTTGTTTTCTCCATCTATGGTGGTTGAATGTTTTGCTGGGTATAGTAGTCCGGGCTGCATCCATGGTCTTTTAGTGTTTGCAAAACATCTGCCCAGGACCTTCTATCTTTCAGAGTCTCCATTGAGGATTTGGGTGTCATTCTGATAAGTCAGCCTTTATATGTTAATTGGTCTTTTTCCTTTGCAGCTCTTAATATTTTTTCTTTATTTGGTATGTTTAGTATTTTGATTATTATTTGGCAAGAGGACTTTTTTTTTTGTCTAATCTATTTGTTGTTCTGTAAGCTTCTTGTATCTCCATAGGCATGTCCTTCTTTAGGTTGGGAAAGTTTTCTTCTATGATTTTGTTGAATATATTTTCTGTGCCTTTGAGCTGAAATTCTTCTCTTTCTTATATCCTTATTATTCTCAGGTTTGTTCTTTCCATGGTGTTCCAGATTTTCTGGATGTTTGTGTTAAGAATTTTTTGGATTTGGACATTTTCTTTGATCAATAAATCTATTTACTCTATCATATCTTCAATGCCCGTGGTCATCTCTGCCATCTCTTGTATTCTGTTAGTGATGTTTTCACCTGTAGTTCCTGTTCATTTATCTAGAGTTTCCATTTCCAGAATTCCCTAGGTTTGTGTTTTCTTTAGTGCCTCTACTTCAATTTTCAAGTCTTGAACTGTTTCCTTCACCTGTTTGATTTTTTCTTGGCTTTAAGGAATTTATTGATTTCTTCCAATTTTTTGTTTGTCTTTTCATTGATTTCTTTAAGGTTTTTTTTCATTTCTTCTTTAAGGGCCTCTATCTTCATAAATTTATTTTTACAATTGTTTTCTTCTACTTCATCTGTGTTGGTATGTTCAGGTCTTGCTGTGGTAGGACCACTGGGTTCTGTTGATGCCATAGAGCTCTTTATGTTGTTGAATGTATTCTTACACTGTCATTTACCCATCTGGGTTTGGGATAAGTTCAGGTACAGGTGTTGATTCTTGTTTTGTCTTTGTTGGATGGGTGTTTTGTTCCTTTGTTATCTGTTTCCTTTATTGTCTTTTGGCCTAAATGGCCAAGGGTTCTGGTGGTTGGCTGGTCCTCAGGCCCAGTAGTGTTCGTAGCTGAGATTGTGAGGGTTTGGTTGCCTAAATCCAGTGTGTCTTCCAGTTCTTCTGGCTGGTGTGGGTTTTACTTGTGACTATGGGGTCTGTTATTCCCCCTGGTGTGGGCTGTGCCTGTGCCTATGGAGTCTGTTCTTCCAGCTGGTGTGGGTTGTGTCTTTACCTGTTCTTTTGCCTAATGTGGGTGGTGCTTGTGTCTATAGGGTCTACTGATGTTGCAGGGGAGGGCTGGACACAGGGAGCATGATGGGTTAGGTGGGTTTGGGCAGCAGAGTGGTTCTTGGGGAAACAGAATCTAGTGTGTGTTGGTGGTGGCAGGTCTCTCACCTGCTGGCCTGCTACTGGGGACTACTCCAGAGCAGTGGAGTTCCGCCAGAGTTGTGGGAGGGCCTAGCTGCCTTGCTGTGGCTGAGATGGGATGGGGAAGGACATGGGATGTGCCTTGAGGTTTAAGACCTAGAGATTGGGGAGACAAGTCAGTCACCTGTACTTCCAACTGGTGTATGTGGTCCTTGTGTCTATAGGGTCTGCTAATGTTGGGGAGAATGATGGAGTAGGCAGGTTTGGGTGGCAGAATGGGTCTTGGGGGAACAGAGCCCAGTGGTTGTTTTTGGTGGTGGTGTAGCCTGCCCGCAGGTCTCTCACCTGCTGGCCTGCTGCTGAGGACTGCACCAGGGCAGTGGAGTTCCACCAGAGATGGGACATGGCCCAGCTGCCTTGCTGTGGCTGAGATTGGAGGGGAGAGGTGCTAGATGTGCCCTGGGGCTTAGGACCTTGAGGTTGGAACAGTTCAGTTGGGAGACCAGTCACTCACCTGTTCTTCTAACTGGTGAGGGTGGCACTTGTTTCTATAGGGTCTGCTGATGTTGTGGGGGAGGACTAGCCATGGGGAGAATGTTGTGGTAGGTGGGACTGGGTGATGGAGTGGGTCTTAGGGGAGTAGAGCCCAGTGGGTGGCGATGGTGCAGTGTCTCTCACCTGCTGGGGACTACCTGACCTCAATTTTAATAGAAACTTCTCTTCTTCTTTCTATGAAGCAAAAAGAACAGAAACAAAAAACAGTTCTGTAGGTAGGAGAGTGTAAAAAGTTATCAAGCACGCAATTATCCTTTAGTAAAGTTATATCACATGCTATAAATTTATTGTACAACTTATAACTATGTCACATTGTAGTTTGAAGTTTTCTCTGGTCCCACCAGGCCCCTGCAGTCCTGTGGCCAGCTTATAAAATAATCACTCAGATCTTATATTCATTATAACTGCTTGACCATTAGCTCAGGCTTATTACTGACTAGCTCTTACACTTAAATTAACACATAATTCTTATCTATATTTAGCCATGTGGCTTGGTACCTTTTCTCAGTTCTGCCTTGTCATCTTGCTTCCTCTGTGTCTGGCTGGTGACTCTTGACTCAGCCCTTCCTCTTCTCAAGGATTCTCCTTGTCTGCTCACTCCACCTATACTTCCTGCCTGGCTACTGGCCAATCAGCATTTTATTAAGCCAGTGTACAAGGGCATTATCCCACAGTATCATATTTCATTTAATGTATGATGACCTTTTAAATGTGATATTAAACATTAGAAATATTGGGTTTTCTTATATTCTATAAATTCAAATATTGAATAAAGTGAGCTATGCTTATTTGAATCCCTAGTTTCTTTTGGCTTAAAGCTTCTTGAAAACCAAAGCAAGAGAACTATGATGCTATGGGTTATCTATTTATAAAAAGAGATTTGTCCAATTTTGATATGAGTCCATGGACACATTGATGGCAACACAAGACAGTCTGCTTTGCTACCAGTTGGAGTGAGTATGAATTTTCATGGATACTGTGTCTATAACCAAGGGAGTAGACTATGTTGTGGTTGGCAGCAAATATGGAAATGTTATTTCTGGGCATTGAGAAATGAAAAGCAATTCAAATACTGATGACTGAATGTTTTGGTTTTTGTTTTTCGTCATTGCTATTCTAAACCTGTTTACCCATAGTAGTCTTAAGAGTTAAAATTTATGTAAATACAAGTGACGTTTAGAATTGGCATGAACCTGTGGATTGTGTCACATTTCTTTTAATGTAAGGTGCAGTTGACTGCTTGGTAGCCTTTTATTTTGTATAGTAACAAAGTTAAAAATATTGCCAAATATAGTTGTAAAATTGGCATAGACCGCATGGCAATAATTCCTGCTTGATAAAGTTCTAGCATTTCAACTTTGTGGATCACTATTCTCCAGCACCCTTTACTTTTATTTTTAATGATTCTCTGTATTATGCCTTTCCCTTGGGAAAATTCTGTGTGGGCTTTGGTGAGGATGAAAATATGTGCAAAGGTAACTTCTTCAAACAGATTAATTCTTTGAAAAAAATCCCTACCACTGTGGAACCATACAGTGTCATAACTCTGCCTACTCCCATACAAGTTAATATCAAGCTGTTGTTATTCTCAAGTTGTGGAATTCCCTAGAGACCACCAAGGAATCCGAATCCATATACAAAAGCAGGGAGTCTTTATTCAAGCTAAAGTGTATTCTTTTTTCAATAAGTGCACTGGCAACCATCCCAGCTCTCCCTCAGATCTTGTCTGTCTCACCACCACCTCCAGCCCCATTGACTCAACACATCCTCTTTGGGACCTGAACCCCCACAGAAGCAGGCCTCTGGCATTAAATATCACAAGTCATAAGTGGCATCCCAATGTCAAAGCTGCTAAAATGTGAATAAAACATAAGGTAGGCACACTGACGCTAGCCTGCAACCCTATCTACAGGGAAGATAAGTTGGGATTACAAAATTCAAGGCTAGCCTAGGCAATATAATTTAAAAAAACTGTAAGCTTATTTGAATATAATTTTGCATGTTTGCAGTAGGTAAAATTCTGCTATTGCTCTGCATTGAAATGCTGTGTTTGACAGTAGTAAGAAAAGCAATCATTGTTATTCAACAAACACTGAGCTGTCAGGGGCTGGAAACACTGGCACATGCTTTGTATAGACGGAAGCATCACCACAGCACTGTGTAACATAGATACTGTTTAATCCTCCTCACAGGGATGAGCAAATTTAGTTAAGGAGCTCAAAGAAAGACTGAGAAGTAACCAGTAAGAAACAGATTAGAGTAGGAATCAAATCCAAGCTGAGTTAAACCTACTGGGCATTCTCTATTGTTTGGACAGGCTGCTCTGAGCAGGAATGTAGCTCCTGATACAGCATTTGCTTGAATGGGAGAGCCATGCACTATAGCTCCAGTATTGCAAGTGAACACTTGAGTAGAGAAATAAATAAGGAAATTCCAGTTGCTGCTCTTATTTCAGAAGGAAACAAATTACATATTCCCTATTATTCACAATTGAATGTACTTTGACACAGTATCCCATGATTTCCTAAAATAATCTTTCAATTTGTAGGACTTCCCTGCACTATGCATGTATTTATAACTGTCCAGATATGGTAATGCTGTTAATAGAAAATAACTGCAACATTAATGCCCAGGAACACATATCTCTGTGAGTTCAAGGCTTATGTGGTCCACCTACTAGGTTTCAGGTCAGCTGACTACATAGTGAGATCCTGTACTGGACAGGGACTCAAAAGTAAAGCATTTAGAGCACTTGCTAAGTGTCTTTCACACTAACAGTACAATAATGATCACTTTTAACATATGTCACAGCACAGGAACATCTGCCAAAGAGCCAGAGCAGAGAAACAAAAAGCATGTGAGATTCATCAGAGGTAAGATTTTAACTACTCTATCTGTTCCTAACTACCCTAAATAAAACAAATAAGAGTAAAAATTTTCTGAGTCTGGGTTACCTTACTCAGGATGATTTTTTCTAGATCCATCCATTTGCCTGCAAATCTCATGATGCCATTGTTTTTCTCTGCTGAGTAGTATTCCATTGTGTATATGAAATATGGTATGTACTCACTCATAGGAGGATACTAGATGTAAAACAAAAATGATTAGACTGCTACTCACAACTCCAGGGAGGCTACCTAGAAAACAGGACCCTAAGAAACACACAGGGATTGCCCAATGACAGAGAAATGGATGAGATCTACATGAACAACCTGGACATGAGTGGGGGTAATGAAGGGCAAGATTCAAGGAAAAGAGAGCTTAGGGGAGTGGGACATCCCAGCTGGATCAAGAACAGAGAGGGAGAACAAGAAATAAGAGACCATGATAAATTGAAGATCCATGAGAATAGGAAGAAGCAAAGTGCTAGAGAGGTCCCCAGAAATCCACAAAGATACCTCCACAATAGACTACTGGCAATAGTTGAGAGAAATCTCAAACTGACCTACTCTGGTGATAGGATGGCCAAACACCCTAATTGTCATGCTAGAAATCTCATCCAATGACTGAGGGAACCGGATGCAGAGATCCATGGCTAGGCCCAGGGTGGAGCTCTGGGAGTCTAATCAGTGAGAAAGAGGAGGGTTTGTATGAGCAAGAACTGTTGAGACCAAGGTTGGATAAAGCACAGGGACAAATAGCCAAATGAATGGAAACACATGAACTATGAACCAAAGGCTGAGGGACCCCCAACTGGATCAGGCCCTCTGAATAGGTGAGACAGTTGATTGGCTTGAACTGTTTGGGAGGCATCCAGGCAGTGGGACTGGGACCTGTCCTCAGTGCATAGGTTGGCTGTTTGGAACCTGGGCCTTATGTAGGGTCGCTTGGCTCAGCCTGGAAGGAGGGGAATAGACCTGCCTGAACTGAATCTACCAGGTTGAACTCAATCCCCAGGGGAGTCTTTGTCCTGGAGGAGATGGGAATGGGAAGTGGACTGGGGGGAAGGCAGGCAGGAGGTGGGAGGGGGGAGGACAAGGGAATCCGTGGCTGATATGTAAAATTAAATTAAATTATAAAATAAAAAATTATAAAAAAAGAAAGAGAACACACTTGACAAAAAAAGAGTAAAAATTTTAACACCCCCAAAGGAGTTAAGGAAATCAAATATAAATGCAGTTGTTTTGTTTTAAAATTTGTTTCCTAATAGTCTGGAAAAATCAGAATCAATTAAACTATTTCTAAGCACTTTCAACTATGAAAATATACTGTTAAAATGTTGCTTATTTGATTTTGACACTACACATGTACTGTCTTTGTATAAAGGAGAAAACTTCTTAACCCGACAGGGAACCTGTATAAGCACACTGAAATAAATTTGATTGTTAGAAAAACTGATTTTTCTTTTTTTCTTTTTTAAATTAAAACTGCTTGGCCATTAGCTCAGGCTAACTACTGACCAGCTCTTACATTTAAATTCAGACCAGTTTTGTTAGTCTGTATGTTGCCATGTGTTCCATGGCTTTACCTGTGTGCCATTACATGCTGTTCCCTGGACAGTGGACTGGCATCTCCTGACTCAGCTTTCCTCTTCCCAGAATTCTCCTTCCCTGCTTATCCTGCCTATACTTCCTGCCTGGCCACTGGCCAATCAGCATTTTATTTATTAACCAATCAGAGCAACACATTCACAGCATACAGAACATCCCACAGCACTGTCTGGCCTCTATGTATAATATAGTGGCTGACTTGTCCTTTGATCCCCAGATAAGTTTATTAGGGTACACAATATATTGGGGTACACAATATAACACCACATTCTTTGGCTTTGGCTTGGATAATCCAACAAAAATGTTCAACAGTTGTTTTCATATGACCTACAATTGTTCTAGAAATAAAACTAGATGGTCCCAGTTTATCTACTATCTACTTGTAGAACAAATGAAACCCTTCCCACATCTATTTGAAGAGAGTAGATGTAGGTGTGAGACAGGCTTTTCTTCCTATGCTGATTTCTGTCAACATGTAGGGCACTTTTACCCTATGACAACCATGAAACACTAGCATATTTTCTTAAAAGTCAGTTTCTCCTCATTCTCTCATTTTCTTTTTTTAATCTTTTTTTAAAAATATTTTTTAATTAAGAAATTTTCTACTTACCATACATACTACCCACAGATCCCATCTCCTCCCTCCTCCCACCCACAGCCCTCCCTCCCAAGCCACCCCACATCCCCACATCCCCCAAATCAAGGTCTCCCATGGGGAGTCAGCAGAGCCCAGTACACCGAGCTGAGGCAGGTCCAAGCCCCTCCCCACCACACCAAGGTTGTGCATGGTGCCACATCACAGGCACCGGCTCACAAAAGCCTGCCCACACACCAGGGATGGATCCCAATCCTCCTGCCCAGGTGTCTCCCAAACAGATCCAGCTAAACAGCTGTCTCCCATATCCAGTGGGCCTAGTTCAGTCCCATGGGGGCTCCACAGCCATTAGTCCACAGTTCATGGGTCTCCACCAGTGTGGCTGGTCATCTCTGCACATCTTCCCATCATGGTCTTGACCTCCCCTGCATGCAGAATCCATCCTCTCTCCATTCAATTGGATTCCTGGAGCTCAGCCTGGAGCCCTGCCATGGATCCCTGCATCCACCTCTGTCAGTCACTGGGTAAAGGCTCTATGATGACCGTTGGGGTATTCACTAGACTGGTCACCAGAGTAGATCAGTCCAGGCATCCCCTCAATCATGGCCAGCAGTCAAGGGTGAGGTCATCCCTGTGGATTCCTGAGATCCTCCCTGGCACCCTGCCTCTTCCCACTCCCATGATGTCTTCATCTATCACAGTATCTTCTTCCCTGTTCTCCCACTCCATCCCCACTCCAGCTTGACCCTCCCATTTCCTTACATTCTCAGCCCCCCATTTCTTGCCATTCACCGCCCTCCCACCCCCAGCCCACTCATGCAGATCCCATCCACTTCTGCTTCACTGGGCTACCCATGCATCCCTCTCAGGGTCCCTCCCTGTCAGCCAGTCTCTACAAAGCTGTGGGCTGCATCTATTATCCACTTATGAGTGAGTACATACTATGTTTGTCCTTCTGAATCTGGGTTACCTCACTCAGGATGATATTTTCTAGTTCTATCCATTTGCCTACGAATTTCATGATATCATTGTTTTTTTACTGCTGAGTAGTACTCCATTGTGTATATGTGCCGCATTTTCTTTATCTATTCTTCAGTTGAGGGGCAACTAGGGTGTTTCCATGTTCTTGCTATTATGAATAATGCTGCTATGAACACAGTTGAGCATGTGTCCTTGTGGTAAGATTGAGCATTCCTTGGATATGCGCCCGAGTGGTATAGCTGGGTCTTAAAGAAGACTTATTCCCAATTTTCTAAGAAACTGCCATACTGATTTCCAGAGTGGCTGTACAAGTTTGCATTCCCACCAACAGTGGAGAAGAGTTCCCCTTGCTCCACATCCTCTCTAACATAAGCTGTCTTCAGTGGAAAAACTGATTTTTCTTTCAGTTTTTATAACAAATGCTTCATCCTTTGTACTGCATATGATTACAAACTTGAATGTTACTAAAATGTAATTATGTCACAAACAAAACTTAATCAATCACTTTAATTTTTTACCTAATGAGGTAATTACAATCATCTTGGTGTTTTAATTACTTTGCATTTTCTCACTTGAGACAGATTCCACACGCTTAATTAAGTTTATCTTTAGTCCTGTCCCATAGTAGACTGACAATGTTGAGTCATAGAAAATGTAATAGACTTTAAGAAAACTGTCAATCCTTACATGTTCTTCTGTTCTGTGTTTCTTTTTTTGGTTTTGGGTTTTTGAAGTTCTGGGGTTCGAAGATAGGGCACTGTGACCAATCTAGGCATGCACCCTTCATATTAACTCTACCCTTATAACGTTTCCCTTGAGTTTTGTTAAGTGCATAAGGGTATGATAAAAACATGGCTTACACACTGAAAAGCACAATTTCCAGAGAAACTTTGGACATGGAGGGAGAGTTGAGCCAATGACATCATTCTGTTTGTCAAAGACTTGGCTGCATCTGCACTGAGTCTAGAGAGACCCTGACAGTGGAAGGAACACTGCAGGGTCTGTATTTCAACAACTGTCGTCATGGCATCTTTTATACCCAACTTGGCACTGGCAGCCAGACAAGGGGGTGAATCCAAGTGGCCTTCTTCCCCTCAGAGGTCAGATGAAAAGAGTCAGTATTACGGTAATGCAGGTAAATTTCTAGTATCACGTTACTGTGAATTTCGTTGTTCTCCGCACTTATAGTAATGAGGGCTGACTGAGGGCTCCCACATGATAGGCTTAGGCTTTGCCACTGAGCCACAGTCCCAGCTGTTTTGTGACTCAGTCAATTTGAGGTGCTGAGTCTGGTAAGGATGCTGCTCTCTCTGTCTGAGATTGTTTAGTTAGGATCATCAAGATGTGCATGAGAGTTTATTTTTAAGCATTAATGCTGGATAGACGGTTCTCTCTTTGAGTTTAAATATACCGTGAATGGAAGTAAGAGTTCTCTGTAAATTAATTTCCTATAACTGAATATATACTCAATAATAGTCTCCAGATTGGTCTAAATGAAATTGATATTAACAAAGAGTCTAATTCATTTTATATATTTTTCTAGAGTTATAATAAGCAATTTTGTCTTTATTTTTAGAAGTGTACCACAGTACTGATCCAAAGGCTTTCTTCAGGTAAGATTTAAGAGATTTAACAGTACATTAACATTAGGGAAATTCAAAGATAAGAGACTAATTCCTGTTTGGTGTGCTCTGAGTTAGGTACTCTATACTTAGTGCTTTCTGTGTCTTACAGTCACCATGGTATTATGGAATATAATTTTAGATGGAATGTTATGGTGACCCCCGAGACAGTCACAGCCTCTCCTGATTCAGTATCCTGCTATTTTCTGGTTTTCATATAGACACGAGTTTTACACTCAACTATCATTTCCCAAGTATTAACTCTCTGTTTTTCAAAAGGAACCTTTTGTGTTACTCACACTTATTAATATCAAATCGACTGTCCTTACTTATTCAAAAACATTTCAAAGTCAGCATTGATCCTAGACCTTCACCAGTAGTTATCCTTTGAGACCTTTATCTTTTCTGAGAGAATACATGATTTGGGATCATTCTGAATTATCAAACAGTATCACAGGCAACCAACATTTTGATTTCCTTCTTTGATACCAGATTTACATGCAAAGTCTCTTTACATCCTGTCTTAGATGGAGAAGACTCACTCCATCCTTTTCCCAAAAGAGCTCCATCTATCAATTATTTCATCAGTGATCTGTTTTCCCCCATAATGAGTCCTCTGAATACCAAGTGGATTATCTGAATTGAAGAGAGCCAAACCACAACACGACTACTAGTTATCTCTGTATATAGAGTTTTTTCCTTCCATGTTATTTGGACATAAACACAGAGTTGAATGCACATTTGTGTCTATGATCTGCTAGCCTAGACATTGCTTAGGCAGAGTTTTTTTTTTTACTCTTTCACAACTGAGACTTTATTGGTTGAGTACACAGACATTTAAATTCTTAAAACATAGACCCAAACTCTAAGAGTCATACATTGTGTTCACATACCCAAAAGAGCCATGTGTTGTTTCTCTTTGAACTTATTCCAGTGATGTTCCATCCTAAGCTTGGCAAGTTTTCCCTAAGACCTCACATAATCCTTAATTCCACTGACTCACAATTTTATGCCACATACAGTACATATTCAAAATTTCAATCTTTCACAGCACATTATCACAATTATTAGGAAAATGGACTGCCTTTACCAGAGACAGTTCTGACAGGGCAAAGACCGAGGAGTGGTTTTTTAGGATACAGTTCTATTAGAAACACGAGACCAGAAATAACTGAAAATATTCCAGACACAAATGCATGACCATAACTCCAAATTACCATTTATTATGCTTTGTGTTGTAGGATATAAAACTAGCCCCCTCTACGGAATGTTATGGTGACCCCCGAGACAGTCACAGCCTCTCCTGATTCAGTATCCTGCTATTTTCTGGTTGTACCAAAAAATAAACAACCAGCAAGTGATTTAACCTCTTAAAAAATCATTTACACTTAAAAAATGGGATGAGGCGGGACTTCCACCTTTTAAATATGTTTCTAGAGCTACTAAAAAACTCGCATTTACAAAATAGTGATAAAAATATTCCTCCGGATTGTACAAGAAGGGAGGCGGGGACACGGACAGACACGATGGATGGTTAGTCGGCCTTGGCTTCTTCTCTTCGACATCAGAGGCTGGACTCTGGTTCTCAGTCTCTCCATTTTCTGCAGGCACATCTGTGGTTTGCTGCTCAGCCACCTCAGCCTGTTTGCCCTTTGCTCCCCTCTTCCCTTTTGTTTGCACTTTTTTGTCTGATGATTTATCCTTTCCTGTGGCCTTCTTCGGCTTCGAGTCCACCTTGGCCCACAGCCTCGCGGAGTGCCGCTTGGGCCCCGCTTACCTTCTTCCTCTTGGGCATCGTGGCAGCAGTGCTGGGTGGGAGGCTCGTGTGTGAGGCTGAACCTGTCACAGAGCTACACTGCCTCGGCCGCCACCGCACGAACTGCTGCGACCCGCCGCGGGGGCGGTCTAGGTAGAGAATTTAACCTTCATTTCAAGCCAGTTCTGTTCTCAGTATAGTTGACTAGGTCCATAATAGAGGACATTGCTATCTTCTTTAATGGGGCTCTATATAATAAAACATGTTACATATAATTAAATAGCTGATTTACTCTAAGTTAAAAGATCCCCAAGTTGGCAGAGGTAATTACCCATGTAAAGATTCATAATTTTCTGGTAGCTACATTTCAAAGACACACCTTGCATGTTAAGTTCTACTTGGAATTCTAAATAGTTCCACAGCAAATAACAAAAATTATCCAACAGGCTTTATTTTTGTCTTCATGTTATTACCTTGTTTAGTCTTTATAGAAATCCCTGTTTAGCACAGAAACAGCCATATTGTGGTGCAGGATTCCCTCCTGAATGGGCTGTCAAGGAACTGTGTTAGCAGAAGCGGGACTCTGTTCCACGGTCTGCAAACCAAGCCCTTGCGAGGTAACACCACAGTCACTGAAATACCAAAAAAGCATGGCAAAGAAGGTGCTGTGGTGCTCTAGGGGCAAGGAATGGGGTGGAGTCAGGATACTAATTCCATTGAGCTTGTGACCATAGAACCACCGGTTACTGTAGCCTTCAAAGGCTGTGAAAGAACCAGTGTCTCTTCTGTCTGTCTGTCTGTCTCTGACTCTCTCTGTCTCTTTGTCTCTAGCACTGTCTCTGTCTCTCTGTCCCTGTCTCTGTCTGTCTGTCTGTCTGTCTGTCTCTGTGCTTGAGGTATTTTTTTGTGGCTGAGTTCTTCCTTTTCTTCAACACAAGAAAAAGTTGTAAGGAAAGAGTCACTGTAGTCAAAATGTTGAAGAACATATTAGTAGCTGTTTGTAAATTTGTAATGTAAGTTATGTTATGAACTGAAACAACAACAAATTCAAATCATTGGGTAAATGTTTTTTTTTTTAAATGGTCATTAAATTATCACTTTTAAAATATGTCACAGTGAAGTAAGATGTCCAGGACAGCTACAATTGATACCCAAAAAGCCTGTCCAGATCAGTACAGGTAAGATTAATAGTGAATACTTTATTGGTTCTACCCTAATTAAAAAAGAGTAACAAGTTTTTTTCTAGCAAAAAAAAAACTACCAAGGAAATGCAATATAAATGCAGTTATATTCTTTCTTAATTTGTTTCTTAATATTTGTAGAATTCAAAATCAGTTAAATTATTTCTAAGAAATTTGATTCTAAAACCGTATCATCTGAAACATGTTTGTGTTTTTAACATGAGCCATTGGTAAATGGCTTTTTGTATAAATAAGAAAAAGATATTTAACTTAGTCCACAGTATCCTCTATATCCACTTAATAGCAAGTTGGCTGTGTTATAAAATGGATTGTTTTTCAGTTGTTAAAATAAATGCATTGTACTTTTGCTGTGTATTATTATGTAGTTAAGTATCACAAAAATATGATTATATTTAAAACAAAGAATACAATATCCAATCACCTTCATTAATTTTTTGTGACTAAATGTAATTAAGATTACCTGTTTTTTTCCATTCTGTAATTTCTCAATTTAGACATATTAGACAATTCACATATTGTCTTACTGTTATCTTTAAGTATTTGCCACTTAATGTGAGTGTGTCTTGACACAGTATGTAATAGAGTCAGGGAATATCTTTTAAAAGTCCATGGATTTTGAAGTTTGTAGGCAGTGCTAAAGATTGAACACTGTCATTGTGAGTATTCTAGGCAAGCGCTTTCCCTATTGGCTATGTTACCAGCACATAGGGTATGATGACAATTGGTTTATGTGTTACAAGACATACTTTCCAGAAAATATGCCACAGTAGCAGGACAGTTGAGAAAACAACACTGTTATCAAGTAGGCAGCATTGACTACAGAGTCCTGGCCCATTGAGTCTGGATAAGATTCTAGCAGTGGAGAGAATGCTACAGACTTTGTGCTTTCAGCAACTGTAACCACAGAACCTTTCACACCTACCTTGCCTTTGGAAGGCAAACCAGGAAGTGATAGTGTAGATGAATCGGAATGACCCTCCTCACATAAGAGATGAAGGGAAAAGTGGCAGCCAGTATTACTGCAACGTGGTAACTTTCTTTTATATTATTTCAACACGATATTATTGAACTTCCCTTGTGGTGATGAGGATTGACCAAGGCCTCCCACATGTTGAATGTACGCTCTATCACTGACCTGCATTTTCAGTCCATTTATTGGTGGGACAAATGCTCTACCTCAGTCATTGTCAATGTCAAGGAAATTACACTGGACTTTTGCATCCTTCAAATGAAGCCAACAAACATTGATTTTATTCCTTTTTGGAGGGCAGAGTGTTAGCACCCAGTGAAAGCTCAACTCATTGATGGTTTGTATGTGGAAAATACAAGTGTTTCATGTGATGCTACTTCCTTGAAATGGCTGCTTTGTGCCCATGCTTCCTCTGTGATTCTCTCACTGGAGATCCAGCTCACGGTGCATAACTTCTAAGGGGGGACCTTTCCAGTAGTTCTTTTTTTTTTTTTTTTTTTTTTTTGGTTTTTCGAGACAGGGTTTCTCTGTGTAGCTTTGCGCCTTTCCTGGGACTCACTTGGTAGCCCAGGCTGGCCTCGAACTCACAGAGATCCGCCTGCCTCTGCCTCCCAAGTGCTGGGATTAAAGGCGTGTGCCACCACCGCCCGGCTCCTTCCCAGTAGTTCTTATGGTGGGAGGTGATGGAGCTGATGCTGAGCTCCTTTACACTGTGCAGGGATGAGGACTATAGCTAGAATGCAGGGGCTTCTTAGCTTCCTCCTCAAATGGGGACAAGGAGACTATGCACACTGACCTCTCTGGAGCTTTGCCACACTGGCAGCTGGGAATTCTTTCCAAAGGTCTGTTTGTGTCTCCTATGTTCTGCTATGCTGCAAAGGGCAGTCACCATAGACTTAGCTTCCCTTAGCTTCCTTGTGTCTGGAATTTTCATCCTCAATGGAGCAAGTTCAACTCAGTCCTTGGAGAAGCTCCTTCCACTCCTATGTGAGATGAGTATACTCACAATTCTCCTAGAACCTTAACCCAGACACAAAACAGCAACAGCAACAAGGTGCAGTCTGGGATACTGATCTGGTGAAGATGCCAGTTCCTCTGTCTGATAGGGTCATAGGTGTTTGCACAATTTGTCATGATTGTTAACTTCTGGTAAAGTTCTCTCTTTGCCTTTGAAATATACAGGGAAATGGAAATTAAGAGTTCTCCACATATTATTGTATATAAATCAGTATTCACATGAAAGACTATCCAGAGTTGGTGCCAAAGTATATGTGGTAGCAAAACGTTAGCCTTGGCGTTTAATAGTTGTATTTTCTGCAGTTGTTTATAACATTTTGTCTTTTTTCTTTTGTAGTGAATGCAGGAACTAAACAGAAGCCTTCAATCAGGTAAGAGTATATGGGTTTTAAAATACACTGAGTATCTGGAGAATATCAAGTTTGGAAATCACACTGTTTTCCTCTGTGTAAGTCAATTTCACCATCTTTATTCCTTCTTTGTTCACAAGCTGAATAATGATTTGTAGAGCACACAATTTTGAAATTACTGATTATACCCTGATGCAGTGTGAAATCCTGTTAAGAATCCGTGGCTAGAGAGGTGGTTCAGTAGAGAAAGTGCTTGCCATGCATGTGTGAGACTGGGAGTTTGGATGCCCAGAAGTCACATGAGGCCTGATGGTCTCATGTGCATCTGCAATCTTGAGGAGCTTAGAGTGAGTTGGGAGGGAGACAGAATCCCCCAAAGTTGACTCAATAATTATTTGGGGGTGTGCATTCATGAACAAGAGACACAGCAACAAAAACAAGGTTGAAGGTGAGGGCTGACCTTCCCCCCGAGTGTGTACTCTGCCATACTTTGCACCCTGGCATGCATGTATGTACCTGAAATCACACATGCATGCAAGTGCACTGCCCATAACATGCCATGCACATGTATTGAAAATATCAGTTTCAGGTCATTAATTCAGATCACTAGTATGTTTGGGCCAAGTTATCTGTTGGCAAGCATGTGAGTAACAAGGCAGGGTTCAAGACTCTCCCAGGCATTGCTGAAGATCCCTTCAGAATGGCCTTATGGACGTGTTCTGCACAGAGATAAACAGCCCTCAATGAGTTCCACAACGGTGCTGAAAACCAAGGTCGGTGGAAGGTAGGAGAATGAAGCGGTTTTCCCCAATATTACCAACATCAAGCCCTGAAGTCTGGAGTTCTGAGGTGTAGTTTGGATAAAGTGGTGCTGAGGGGACAGCGTTGCTCCCCAGTGTGCTATAAAGACTCAGCATTACAGAATCGCTTGTTGAGCATAAAAGTAGCCAGTTGAGAGTTTCATCATATGCTTGTGAATAGACTCTCAAAAAGCAGCTTCAAAGCACCAAAAATGTGGTGGCTTCTGAGAGCACTGGCACTCAGTGCTCAGAGGTATGGATCAGTTTCATGTTCTACCCACCAACCTCCTGGGACAGAGCATGAGACTCAGTGAAATACCTAAACAGTTTCCTGATAGTGAAGGGACCATGGTGCTCTATGGCATGGGAAAGGAATTAAACAGGAGCATTAAGTGCATTGAGCACATAAACAAAGGCAGCAGTTACTGCAGCCATCGGCACAAGGTGTGTGGAAGAACCCCGACCCTCCTGTGTGTGGTCATTCATTTCTGCTTTCATGTTGAGTTCCACGCACTAATTTGGCTTTGTTGTATTCTTGTTTCTCTGAGGCACAAAGATACATCAGATTTAAGTTATTTGAGATCGTTCTGACTGTTTTTAATATATGTAGTTATAGCCATTGATTTCTTTCTGAGTATGTCTTTCATTGTATACCAAAAATCTAGCATGGACTATTTTAATATTCATTCAATTTTAGAGAATTTAAAATTTCTTCTTAAGGCCTATGATGGATAATTCTTTGTTCAAACAGAGAGAAATCTGAGTTAAATGCCAGAGATTTGCCAAAGGCTTTAAACTCAGAACTCAGGAGGCAGAACTCAGGCATATCTCTGTGAGTTCGAGGCTTACATGGTCCACATACTAGGTTTCAGGTCAGTTGGGCTACATAGTGAGATCCTATATCAGATAGGGACTCAAAAGCAAAGCATTTAGAGCATTTGCTAAGTGTCTTTCACACTAACAGTACAATAATGATCACTTTTAACATATGTCACAGCAAAGGAACATCTGCCAAAGAGCCAGAGCAGAGAAACAAAAAGCATGTGAGGTTCAACAGAGGTAAGATTTTAACTACTCTATCTGTTCTAACTACCCTAAATAAAACAAATAAGAGTAAACATTTTAACACCCCCAAAGGAGTTAAGGAAATCAAAGATAAATGCAGTTTTGTTTAAAAATTTGTTTCCTAATATTCTGGAAATATCAGAATCAATTAAACATTTCTAAGCATTTTCAACCATGAAAATATACTGTCAAAAATGTTGCTCATTTGATTTTGACACTGATACATGTACTGTCTTTGTATAAAGGAGAAAACTTCTTAACCTGCCAGGGGACCTCCATAAGCACACTAGCAAATTGGACTGTTAGAAAAACTGATTTTTTTCTTTCAGTTTTTATAACATGCTTCATCCTTTGTACTGCATATGATTACAAACTTGAATGTTACTAAAATGTAATTATGTCACAAACTTAATAATCAATCACTTTAATTAATTTCTTACCTAATGAGGTAATTACAGTCATCTTGGTGTTTTAATTACCTTGCAATTTCTCACTTGAGAAAGATTCCACACACTTAATTAAGTTTATCTTTAGTTCTGTCCCATAGTAGACTGACAATGTTGAGTCATAGAAAATGTAATAGACTTTAAGAAAACTGTCAATTCCTATATGTTCTTCTGTCCTTTGTTTCTTTCTTTGGTTTTGGGTTTTCAAAGTTTTGGGGTTGAACATATGGCCTTGTGAACATTCTAGGCATGCACCCTTCATATTAACTCTACCCTTATAACGTTTCCCTTGAGTTTTGTTAAGTGCATAAGGGTATGATAAAAACATGGCTTACACACTGAAAAGCACAATTTCCAGAGAAACTTTGGATATGGAGGGAGAGTTGAGCCAATGACATCATTCTGTTTGTCAAAGACTTGGCTGCATCTGCACTGAGTCTAGGGAGACTCTGACAGTGGAAGGAACACTGCAGAGTCTGTATTTCAACAACTGTCATCACGGCGTCTTTTATACCCAACTTGCCACTGGCAGCCAGACAAGGGGGTGAATCCAAGTGGCCTTCTTCCCCTCAGAGGTCAGATGAAAAGAGTCAGCATTACGGTAATGCAGGTAAATTCCTAGTATCATGTTACTGTGAATTTTGTTGTTCTCTGCACTTATAGTGATGAGGGCTGACTGAGGGCTCCCACATGATAGGCTTAGGCTTTACCACTGAGCCACAGTCCCAGCCTATTTGACAGTGGGTCAGATGCCCTTCCTGGATCATGGGGAATGCTAAGAAGGCACAGCAAGTTTCTCTTGAAACAAGACAAAAGAGGAGTAATTTTCATTTATGAAAGGCAATCTGTCAGTGTACAGTGAAAACTTGAGTGAGTTCCTATTTTGTGTACACGAACATGTGAATTGATTCCACGTCAGCAGGTGACCCATGGAACGTGGTGCTCCACCCCACGATGTTCCTCTGTTGCTCTCTCACTGTGAGATACAGCTCACCATGCATAACTACCTGGAGGATTCATTCCAACAACCGTTTTTATGGGAGATGCTGGACACTGTAATGACCGTGTTTTAAGCTGCACATAAGTTTGTGAACAGAGCTGTAACTAAGGGGCCTCTTTCCCCAAAAGGATGAGGAGAGTAAGCACATTGTTCCCTCTTCAGCTTTTTGTAAAGGTCTTTGTCCCTGGTTTGTTTCTGTCTGCTGTGTTTCAACATGCTGCAAAGGACAGTTGCTGGACATCCAGCTTCCCGTGCTAGGGCTTTTTACCCTAAACTGAACAATATCAGCTAAAAAGCTGAAGAAACTTCTTTGTGTTTTTGAAGGAAAAGAAATAGGATTATACAGTCTAAGAAATTTTTCTTTTTGGATTTTTATGTTATGTGACAAATCTTTTTGTTATGAAGCTCTGGCTGTCCTAGAACTCACAGAAATCTCTCTGGCTCTGCTGCCCGCCCTGCCCCAGTGCTTGTGTTAAGGGTGTGCACCACCACACCAAATCAAGACTTATTTCTAGTACTTTAGCCCAGAGTCAAACAACAAGAAGCTACTTTGTGACTCAGTCAGTTTGAGGTCCTGAGTCTGGTAAGGATGCTGTTCTGTTTGAGATTGTTTATTTAGGATCATCAAGATGTGCATGAGAGTTTATTTTTAGGCATTAATGCTTGATAGATGGCTTTCTCTTTGACTTGAAATATGCAGAGAATGGAAGTAAGAGCTCTCTATGAATTAATTGCCTACAACTGAATGTTTACTCTAGAATAGTCTCCACATTGGTCTTAATGGAATTGATATTGACATTGAGTCTATTCCCCTTTATATATTTTTGTAGAGCTATTATAAACCCATTTTTCTTTATCTTTAGAAGTGCACCACAATACTGATCCAAAGCCTTTCTGCAAGTAAGATTTAAGAGATTTAACAGTACACTAACATTAGGAAAATTCAAATATAAGAGTCTAATTCCTGTTTGGTGTGCTCTGAGTTAGGTAATCTATACTTAGTGCTTGGTGTGTCTTACAGTCCCCATGGTATTATGCAATACAATTTTAGACTGAAAACTTGTTCATTTTCGTTCATATAGACATGAGTTTTACACTTAACTATCATTTCCCAAGTACTAACTCTATGGTTTGCAACAGGAACCTTTTGTGTTACTGATACTTATTAATATCAAATCGGCTCTCCTTACTTATTCAAAAACATTTCGAAGTCAGCATGTGAACCTAGACTTTAACTAGCAGTTATCATATTTGACATTTATCTTTTCTGAGAGCATACATGATTTGGGACCATTCTCAGTTATCAGAAGGTGTCAGAGGCAGCCAACATTTGGCTTTCCTTCTCTGATACCAGAATTATATGCAAAGTCCCTTTGTATCAGGTCCAGCACCCAATTTTAGATGGAGAAGACCCACTCCATCCTTTTCTCAGAAGAGTGTAGATGTAACCAACTGTCTTATTAAAATAAGAAACACAGAACCAATGTAAAAGAGAAAGCCGAGAGATCAGAGCTCAGAGCTAAAATCTTACCTCCTGCAGTGCTCCTGGCTTCCCCTAAAGAGAGCTACTTCCTGTGTGTTTGTCTTTAAATAGTCTTTCTGTTCTGCCTTCTCATTGGTTGTAAACCCAACCACATGACTGCCTCATCACTGCCTGTAAGTACCGCCCTCCAGGTCTTAAAGGCGTATGTCTCCTATGCTGGCTGTATCCCTGAACACATAGAGATCTACATAGCTCTTCTACCAAGTGCTGGGATTAAAGGCATGCACCACCACCACCACACTCTTGCTATGGCTCTAATAGCTCTGACCCCCGGGCAACTTTATTTATTAACATAAAATTAAAATCACATTTCAGTACAAATAAAATACCACCATAGAAGAGCTCCATTCATCAATTTTTTCATCAGTGATCTGTTTTCCCCCATAATGAGTCCTCTGAATCTCAAATCTTAACCACAACAAGACTATTAGTTATCTCTGTATAAAGAGTTTTTTCCTTCCATGTTATTTGGACATAAACACAGAGGTGAAGGCACATTTGTGTCCATGATCTGCTAACCTAGACACTGCTTAGGTAGGGAATTTAAACTTACATTTCAATCCAGTTCTGTCCTCAGTATAGTTGACTAGGTCCATAATAGAGGACATTGCTATCTTCTTTAATGGGGCTCTATATAATAAAACATCTGTTATATATTATTAAATAGCTGATTTACTCCAAGTTAAAAGATCCCCATGTTGGCAGAGGTAATTACCCATGTAAAGATTCATAATTTTCTGGTAGCTACATTTCAAAGACACACCTTGCATGTTAAGGTCTACTTGGAATTCTAAATAGTTCCACAGCAAATAAAAATTATCCAACAGGATTTAATTTTGTCTTCATGTTATTACCTTGTTTAGTCTTTATAGAAATCTTTGTTTAGCACAGAAACAGCCATATTGTGGTGCAGGATTCCCTCCTGAATGGGCTGTCAAGGAACGGTTTGAGAGTTAGAGTGTTAGCAGAAGCGGAACTCTATTCCACGGTCTGCAAACCAAGCCCTTGCAAGGTAACACCACAGTCACTGAAATACCAAAAAAGCATGGCAAAGAAGGTGCTGTGGTGCTCTAGGGGCAAGGAATGGGGTGGAGTCAGGATACTAATTCCATTGAGCTTGTGACCATAGAACCACCGGTTACTGTAGCCTTCAAAGGCTGTGAAAGAACCAGTGTCTCTTCTGTCTGTCTGTCTCTGACTCTCTGTCTCTCTGCCTCTAGCACTGACTCTGTCTCTCTGTCTCTGTCTCTGTCTGTCTGTCTCTCTCTCTCTCTCTGTGCTTTTGTTGAGGTATTTTTTTGTGTGGCTGAGTTCTTCCTTTTCTTCAACACAAGAAAAAGTTGTAAGGAAAGAGTCACTCACTGTAGTCAAAATGTTGAAGAACATATTAGTAGCTGTTTGTAAATTTATAATGTAAGTTATGTTATGAACTGAAACAACAAATTCAAATCATTGCATAAATGTTTTTAAAAATGGTCATTAAATTATCACTTTTAAAATGTGTCACAGTGAAGTAAGATGTCCAGGACAGCTACAATCGATACTTAAAAAGCCTGTCCAGATCAGAACAGGTAAGATTAATAGTGAATACTCTATTGGTCCTACCCTAATTAAAAAAGAGTAACAAGTTTCTTCTAGAAAAAAAAAACTGCCAAGGAAATACAAAATAAGTGCACTTATATTCTTTCTTAATTTGTTTCTTAATATTTGTAGAATTCAAAATCTGTTAAATTATTTATAAGAAACTTCATTCTAAAACTGTATCATCTGAAACATGTTTGTGTTTTTAACACGAACCATGGACGAATGTAATATCTCTGTATAAATAAGAAAATGATGTTTAACTTAGTCCAAATATCCTCTATATCCACTTAATAGCAAGTTGGCTCTGTTATAAAATGGATTGTTTTTCAGTTGTTATAGTAAATGCATTGTATTTTTTTGCTATGTATTATTATATAGCAGTGTGATTATGTTTAAAACCAAAAATGCAATGTCTAATTACCTTCATTAATTTTTGTGACTAGATATAATTAAGATGATCAGATACTTTTCCATTCTGCAATTTCTCAATTTAGACATATTAGACAATTCACATATTGTCTTACTCTTACCTTTTTTTTCATTTATTTTTTTAATTAAGAAATTTCCTATTCATTTTACATACCAACCACAGATCCCCCTGTCCTCTCTCCTCCCTCCCCCCAGCAGTCTCCCCCAACCCCCAATCCCTTTTCCTGCCTCCTTTAAGGCAAGGTCTCCCATGGGGAGTCAGCAGAGCCTGGTACATTCAGTTGAGGCAGGTCCAAGCCCCTCCTCCCTGTACCAAGGCTGCACAGAGTGTCTCCCGCTAAGTGACATGAGCCACATAAATTCTTTTTTTTGTCTGATTGTCCTTTATTTTACATCTAGAATCCACTTATGAGTGCGTACATACATGACTGTCTTTCTGGGTTTGGGTTACCTCACTCAGGATGATTTTTTCTAGTTCCATCCATTTGCCTGCAAATTTCATGCTTTCATTGTTTTTCTCT